AAACAAATATTGCCAACGACAAAGCTAATTAAGCTTCTGTAAGTAAACTCACAATAGTAAGGAGCTTTTCTTCCAAAGTTAAGAAGATAGAAACATAAATAGGCTAATCACTAGAGAAAAAATAGGACGCACACATTATTTCTAAATAACAATGTTATCATTTTACTTCATAAATGAAACAAAAAAAGAAAGAAAACATCGAATAAAATCATAACATTGTTATTTAGAAATAATGTTCGTCTAGTATTGTTCAAAGAAAAGCTCCTACATTAATGCAATTTCATTCACCTACATTATTTTAATTTTATTCACCTACATAAATGCAATTAACTTGCAATGCCTAAATTATTTTTTATGAAATAGAATATTTGTATGTTTATTATTTTATCCATAAATGAAACAAAAAAAGAAGGAAAAAATCAAATAAAAACACGGAAATTGCAAATGGAATTGCATTTTATGGTAGCTTGTACAAATACAATTAAGACTTACATCCTTGCAATTAAAAATGCAATTGCTTTTTAATTGTCAAATCACTTTGCAATTCAATATGAAAGCTTGATGTAGATGCTCTTAGCTTCCGGGATGTCGGAAACCACTGGCCAAGAACGCTGAGAGATTGCCGCCGTAGCCATTGAAATAAGGCGAATAGCACGACTAGAGCGGGGAACCACGACAGATTGATGAAGGTGACACGAAGGAGTAGCGCGACAGGAGCAATGAAACTCCAGCAGATTGATGGTAGTGAGATCATATGCCGACGAGCTAACCGTCATAGAGAAAACGGTTTATTTGACAAAGAGGAAAGAGTTTCCTATTCAGGTTTATTCAGGTTTATTCGTCATCATTAAAACATTTTGGCTTTTTGTAAAGATTACTCAAAGCGAATATAGTGAAATAGTAGGGATTGTAAATTACAGGCTCCAAATAATTAATGAAGTCTTCCACAAGAAACCCATCAGCAATGTAAGGAGAGCATTGTTTTTTTATTTATGAATAAGCAGATTTTATTCCATCAAAAGTACTGTAATGACAAATAGACATCTATAACTACTACCTCTCTACTTCCTGCCTGGTCAGAGAAAAAAAAACACAAACACTAACACTACACTACAACAAGATTACATGAACCAAAGGTTTTTCCTCTCAACAGCCAAACTGAACTTCAGATTTCCCAACATCAAAGCCTCCATTGTAGTCCTCAGCTTATCAATGAAGTCTGCTGCAGCAATTGACTTCGTACCATACACCCTGCAGCATCTCTCCCGCCAAACCTCACTAACCATCGAGTTCCAAAGCACCGGGAGCAGATCCGGTGAGTAACCTTGTGGTGAGTAACCCCATGCATAACCCAATAAGAAACTGCCACATCAGCGCCTCCTTCTCTCTACTGGAAAAATCATTAATTTTCTTTCCCTTAAACTTTAACGGACGATTTCTCACTCGTTTTAACACGAAATATAATTTTTTTGCATAGTTAGATAAGATTAATTGTGCTCTTCAAAATGATATCCACTTTGATATTTTTTGGAACAAAAAAAAAATTGCCAGTTATTACTATAGGTGTCAATCGGGCGGGTTCGGGCTGGGTTCAATCGGGTTCGGGTTCAAACGCGTTGCGGGTTAGTCGGGTTACGGGTTGATCGGGTTCGGGTTCAAACGGGTTGCGGGTTAGTCGGGTTGCGCGTTCATCGGGTTCGAGTTCAATTGGGTTGCGGGCGGATCGGGTTTCGGGTTGTTCGTGCCCGCGAATCAAGTAACTTAACTCACTACAAGAAAAAATATAGTTAGTGTCGGTTATTTTATATGTTTAGTAACCGACACGAAAGTTGTCGACACTAAACCGATTTGTGTCATTTTTGGACAACCGCTGGAATAACCGACCCAAATTATATTTATGTCGGCTACTAACCGAGACTAATTATTTATCCAGAAAAATATTTTTTACTTGAAATCGTTATCTGTGTCGGTTCACTAACCGACTCAACTTAGTCAAATTTTTAATATAATAAAAAAATCCCCGGCAAGTCAATCGTCGCAGGCGACCATTCTCCTCCTCTCCGGCCAACCCTCTTCTTTTCCTATCCCTCGATACATATCAAAACTATTAGAAAAAACAAAGATCTGAAAAACTGAACTCACAAAAGCTGTTCTTCATTACCAAACTCTTCTTCATTCACGAACCCAGAAAAGTTTCACAAACCCAGAAAATACAACCCCCTAACCCAACAATTACAACCCTTTTAACCCAGAAAATGCGAACTCCAAACCCAACAACCACAGATACAAACCAGAGAACAAAATCCTATCTTCTTCCAAACCAACCGAATCAAAATTTGCTCTTTCTCCTCCTTGAACCCATTAGATCCCCAAAAATCAAAAACACAAAAAAAAATGCAACAGAATCCTTCTCCGCCGTCGCCGCGAGTCTCCCACCAGGCCTTGTGTTCATTGATCTCCGTCGTGATTGCGCTCGTGGACCTCCACCTCCGCCACCAGCTCTTGCTACCTCTGTCGCCTCACCCTCAGCTCCCTACGTTTCCTCTCGATCTCTCCACTATCGTCGCCAGCTCTCGCTGATCGTCGCTATCTCGGTCTCTCTGCCATCATCGTCGGATCTCGCCGAGCGTCGCCATTTCGGTCTCTCTGCCATCGTCGCCGGATCTCGCCAGAGGAAGAAGCTAGCGACGGAGGGGATCTTTTTTTTAAGAGAGGAATCGAAGGAAGGAGATGAAAGAAGGGTCTATTTTTTTCTAGAACAGAGGAGCAGGTGAATGATTAGTTTTTTGGAGAGGAACGAAGAAGGAAGCAGGAGAGAAAGAAGGAAAGTTGAGAGAGAGAAGGAAAGTTGAGCGGCGAGAGATTGGATTGGGGGAGGAGAGGGGTTTGTTTATTTGGGGTAAAGGGACTTTTTTAAAGTAATTTAAAATATTTTCTCAACTTTTTAACCAATTTATTTCTACCTCGTATATTTTTTTTTTTTTTTGAAAAAAACTAGTCAAAATGTTAAATCAATTTGTATGACTTGCAAACTTGTTATGTAATTAATCATAATTGATAAAGTATTATAGCTAATAGTAATGGTGATATCAATATTTGCAACCAAAAGACACCGTTAATTGTTTATTTGATATTTTAGTATTAATTCAGTAGTAATTGGATTAAAGTATCTCGTTTAGTATAACCATGCAAATCTGGTATTTGGCAAAAGCATAGTGATAAAAGGAGTTATTTCGAAATAACTCATTGCCCAAATAACTTCAGTAAACTGTTGCCAAACGAGTTATTTGTAAAATTGTTCGAATTATCCTAAAAATTCAACCATTAAAGATTAGCTATCAGATTTAGTAAAATTATTGTGACTTCAATCATAACTTACTCAATAGCATATATCCTATACACTTAGCCTTACCCTTAATCAACAATATTAAGTTAGTCGGGTTCTTGGTCAATCGGGTTCGGGTCAGTCGGGTTCTTGGTCAATCGGGTTCGGGTTAATCAGGTTGCGGGTCAGTCGGGTTGAGGGTTAGTTGGGTTGCGGGTCAATCGGGTTGCGGGTCGGGCGAGTTACGGGTTGTTGACTTTTAGTCAATTCGGGTTGCAGTCGGGTTGCGGGTCGGGTTGATCGGGCGGGTTAATCGGGTCGGGCTATGTTTTGACACCTATAGTTATTACCAGTCTATACCATATGGTATTGACTTGTATTAAATAACAACATACCATATGGTATGAAAAATACCAATCAATATCATATGATGTTATTAAATACTAGTCAATACCATATGGTATTAAATAACAGCATACCATATGGTATGAAAATACCACCTCATACCAAGGTGGTATAGTACGGTATGAAGTTGGTAACGAGAGGTTTGAAATTTTTTCCCCCAGAAAATTTTGAAATCCAATAGATCAATGATTAAATCGTTCCTTTTGTGCAAAAAGTTTCGAAAATGACTAAACAACGAAGGAGATACCATATGGTATGGAGTTGGTAACGAGAGGGATGAAAAAAAATTCTCAAAAAATATTGAAAATGGATATCATTTTGTAGAGCACAACGAACTCGTTCCATCTGTGCAAAAAAATTGAAATCCGAGTTAGAATGAAGAAGATATGATCCAATTAAGAAAACTAGGAAAAATAAATTCATTTAATTCTCCACCCTTAGATCTGCAGTCACTTAAAAGAAGAGTCTAGATTTGGTTACTCATTGTTACTCACCCTAAAGTTACTCACCCTATCTTGAGCCCCAAAGCACCCTTCCCACACAGCATCCCTGCAACTTCTCCACTGCCTTCTGCAATCCAGCCTCCCACCCTAAGTGGCTATATATATAGGGTTACCCAAAGATGGAACGTTGTGTCACACCCGGTGCCTAGACTTTTCACAAATTGCCAAATTCACCCTTAATTACTTTGTTTAATTAAGCTAATCAATTAATTAATTAAATTCTAACCTTGAATTGGAGGATGGAAATGCTCTCAACTGTCCCTGGCGACCCCCTTGTTCCAACTCCGTCACCGATGCTTGTCCCCCCGGACCGGCCACCAGAATCAACGAACGCTCCTAGGGACCCTTTGTTCCGACCCCAACAAACAATGAATGCTCTGGGGACTAGCGCCTCGGACATGAACCTCGATGTGACGGCAGATCCATCCCACCAATCGCCACAAGGCTTGACTGAGAATGGCGAACAGATTGTAGCAGGGGAAGACACGAACATAGAGTCGGCAAATATAGGGAGGCCTCAGCTACCGTTCACCTATGCCAGCACGGTGACGGGATGGAAACAACCCACCGCCTCTCAAATCCCGACGATCAATTGGACCCCTGTAGTGGAACATGACCTGATCCCGGGTGAACGAAATGGCGAGCCTGCTTTGAATGTTTCGGCAGACTTCAAGAATCGAATCTGCTCCCCTTGGCAACGAACTTTGGTGGTCCGCCTGTTAGGTACTCGGATCGGCTTCTCCACGATCTGCTCTCGCCTAAGGGGAATGTGGAAGCCGGTAGGAATGATGGAAGTCATGGATCTGGATCACGATTGTTTTCTGGTAAAGTTGAGCAATGATCAGGACTACTTCCGCGCTCTGACAGATGGTCCCTGGACTATTTTCGATCACTATTTGGTCGTGCATCAATGGACCGCACAGTTCAAAGTTTCTGACCCTCTCCCCAAAACAATGATTGTGTGGGTTCAACTTCCAGCTTTGAAGGTACATTTTTATCATAAGGAAGTGTTGACGACCTTGGGGAATTTGATCGGAAGAACAATCAAATTGTACTACCACACTCTCAACCGGCAATGTAATAAGTTTGCCTGTATAGCTGTTGAGGTGGATCTATCAAAACATCTGGTTCCTCGAATTTGGCTCGACGATGAGTGGCAAAAAGTGGAATACGAAAACCTTCCTGAGGTGTGCTTTGAGTGCGGCAAGATCGGGCACTCATCGGCGACTTGCCCCAAGCTCTCACTAGCCACGACGACTCCTACACTACTCCTGACCGGCGATGAAAACACGCCGCCGCCGCCGGCGACCACAGAGCCAAACGCGGGTTTTGGGCCGTGGATGATGGTCACGCGTAAGAGCCGGCGGGATCAAAGAGACTCCCATAAAAAAGGAAAGCCCGAGAAGGATGTGGGGACCTTGCACGGAGCCGTTACAAGTATTTTGGAAAAGAATTCTACCCCGCAAAGGAAAGTGCAAATCCCCTACCTAAACAGACAGCACCCAGTGATCTCCCTGAGCAACGGGTCTTTAACCAGGATAGGAAAGGCACCAACAGGAAGAACGCGGGAGAGGAAGCTAGAAAAGAGAAAGGGAAAGTGGTTTCTGAGTATGCAACTGGCGGCAAGAGAATTTTAGGTTCAAGACCTGGGCGAGACCCTTCAAACTCCAATGGGCCGAAGTCCAGTAGCGACCCTCAAAAGGCTTCTTCCTCGGCCAACACTTCAGACATACGACAAGGCCCATTAATAGTCCATCCCACCAGGAATACCTCAGATCCAATTGAAGCCCATCCATCTAGCCCGGTCCGCCAGAATCCTCCCCCTCCTCTCCAAACGGTGACTAGCCCAAATGGGACGACGATGCAGATTGTCGAGCTGCCCCCATCGGGGAACAGTATCGGTGGCACCTCCCAACAAGTCTCACCGTCGACAGCGGCCAGAACTAAGAGAAAGAAAACCCATAAATCCCATGGACGGAAATCACCGACTAAGCTAAATCCCTCGAAGCCTTTACAGATTTGGACGCCAACCAAGGAGCGGAAAGCGAAGACGAAATCTAGGATGACGTCCCTTACTCTGCAAGAGATCTTGGCATGGACGAACGCAGCTAATTTGGCAAAACAGACGAGTGGGGCGAAGAACCCGGAGATCCCTGTTGGCGAAGCACCGACGGGAGCGACCACCCCTCTCTCTTGATCCTCTTCCTCTTTCCTTCCGCTCTCTTTACACTTCTCTTTCTTTGTTTATCCTTTGTCGATTCATACTAATTTATCCTTCTTTTCTTGGAATGTTGGAGGAGCAGGGGGAAAGCTTTCTTCCGAGCTCTTAAGATGATAATCCAGAAGTTTCATCTAGATTTTGTCATCCTGCTGGCGCTTCAGATCAGCGGCACTGCTGCTAATTCGGTTTGCGATAGACTCGGCTATCCTAACTCTATCAGAGTCAAAGCTGAAGGCAGGAGTGGGGGCATATGGGTTTTCTGGGACGCGAGCAGATTCACAGTTTCTTTATTCTCGGCGTGTTCACAGCAGCTATCCCTCTGGATCTCTCGAGAAAATGCGCACCCTTGGCTGTTGACGGCAGTGTATGCTTCCCCCAAGCAAAGTCAGCAGAGAATACTGTGGGACAGTCTGATCGGCCAGAGTGAGCGTGTTGACGTCCCCTAGCTTATCACCGGGGATTTCAACGCGATTCGAAGCTTAGATGAGAAGTCCGGCCCTCCCGCTAGTAACTCTATGAGGAGATGCAGACTTTTTAATGATAGAATCAACTTGGCAGAGTTCATTGATCTAGGTTTCTCCGGGCCAAAGTTCACTTGGAGTCGTGGAGATCAAAACCAGACGTTCAAGGCCAGCCGGCTGGATAGGAGCTTCTGTAATGTTCTGTGGAACTCCGTTTTCCCTAATACGACTGTCGACCACCTCCCCAGATGCCAGTCCGACCATAACCCCATTCTTACCACTGTTGCTGGCCAACAACCCACTCATCGTGGCATCCGCCCCTTCAAATTCGAAGCCGCGTGGCTCACGCACAACAACCTCCAGAACTTTGTGAGGGAGTCTTGGGATAATCAAGTCCCATTTCAGAATGCTATGCTTCAGCTTGCAGGGAACTTGCATGATTGGAACTTTAACACGTTTGGGAATGTCCAGAGGAAGAAGAACCGTATTATAGCGCGCATTAAGGGTGTTGAAGACAGGCTCTCTACCTGCTTTTTGCCCGGGCTGGCCAAGCTACACAAAAAGCTTGAAACGGATTTGGACAAAATTCTTGAGCAGGATGAACTTTTGTGGTACCAGCGCTCTCGGGATAAGTGGGTGGAGTTTGGGGAGACGAACACAGCTTACTTTCACCAGCAAGTTAATATCCGCCGCCGCCGCCGTCAGAGTCCACTCTCGTACTGATCCCAAAAGTGGACAGCCCAGAGCAAGTGTCTCAGCTTCGCCCAATCTCTCTTAACAATGTCAGCCTCAAGGCAATTACGAAGGCCATGACTCACAGGTTGAAACCGCTTATGAGAAAACTTGTCTCACCTAGGCAAAGCAGTTTTATCCCTGGCAGACAGACGGCTGACAACATCATAGTGGTTCAAGAAGTGCTTCACTCTCTTCGAAAGAGGAGGGGAAAGAAGGGAGGTTTGGTGTTCAAGATTGATCTCGAGAAGGCGTATGACATGCTGAGATGGGATTTCCTTAGAGAGACAGTCAAGGAAGTGGGGCTGCCTAGTACATGGATAAACTGTATTATGTATTGCGTGGAGCAGAACAAGATGCGGATTCTTTGGAACGGAGAGCTCTCCCAGCCCATCACCCCTTCACGAGGGGTTCGCCAGGGAGACCCTCTCTCTCCCTATCTTTTTGTCCTATGCATGGAACGTTTGTCTCATAAAATTGATGAAACAGTAGCGAATGGTAAATGGAAACCGATTAAACTCTCTGTGAATGGACCGACACTCACGCATCTTTTCTTTGCATATGATCTCCTACTTTTTGCTGAAGCGGAAAGCCGGTAGATTAGTGTCGTGAAGAAGTGCATGGCTGATTTTTGCTCCAGTTCAGGACAGAGGGTGAACTACAGTAAATCGATCCTATATGTTTCACCCAATGTTGCTAGGGACAAGGCTACTCGTCTAAGCAGTAGGGCTTGGATTCCTCTGAAAGCCGCTCTAGGACGCTACTTAGGTATTCAGGTGAACAGGAACGAGTCACCAAAGGCAGATACTAGTCGCTTCTCCTCCAAGTTCAGAAGAAGATGGCTCCTTGGAAATCAAAGGGGCTTTCATTTGCTGCTCGCCTCACAGTAGCCAAATGAGTGGTTGCCTCTTTGCCTGTTGACAAAATATCCCAGGAGGACGACCAGCTGTTCTGGACTGCCTCAACTGATGGGCGGTTCTCGGTCAAATCTGCCTACACCCTGCTCGCTCAACATCAGCTCGCGTCAAACGACAAAGTTTGGAAGGTGATATGGCAGTTACAAGTGCCGGAAAGAGTCAGATGCTTTATGTGGTTGACGCTTCTTGGGAGGATAGCTACCAATCTTTTTCGCTACAACAGGAGAGTGGCAGCTGCACCGCATTGCCTGAGATGTACAGAACAGCCGGAGACAATCCTTCACATCTTGAGAGACTGTCCACCTGCACTGTACCTCTGGAGCCTCTTGGTCTCGAACCATCGTCAGCTACTCTTCTTCTCTTTTAACCAGGACGAGTGGCTACGGGCGAACCTGCTTTGTGAGGACCCCACGGACACCGGGATCCCTTGGTCTTCCTTTTTTAGTATGGCTACTTGGCTGCTCTAGAAGAATCGAACAACAACATCTTTTAAAGGGATAGGGGCAGCGCTCTCACCTCCTTCCTTGGCGCATTCCATTAGTTCGAAGACCCAAATTTGGCACAATTCTTGGAATGCTCCTTCCTAGATGCTATACAATAGAAGGCGCCTAGCGGAGCGGATAATGGGCAACATTGGATGGACTCCTCCACAAGAGGGGTGGGTTACTTTAAACATTGATGGGGCCTCTAATGGAAATCCGGGGCAGGCTGGTGCAGGGGGCATCATTCGAGATTCGACTGGGAAATGGAAAGGGGGTTTTATTGCGAATATTGGGACAGCTACGGCTGATCTTGCGGAGCTGTGGGCATTCAAATATGGTCTTGAGCTGGCGTGGAAGATAGGACAACGGGTCATCACTGTTGAGTCAGACTCCCAAGTAGCCATCCAGCTGATTCAGAACAGATTGGACCCGATCTATCCTTATGCTACTCTCCTCTCTGTCATTCACAGGAAGCAGAGCTATGATTGGATGGTACGCATTGTTCATACATACCGGGAAGGGAATAGAGCCGCGGACTGGCTCTCGAAGCACAGTCTTGTCTATCCCTACGGTATGCATGAACTTGCGGACCCTCCTACTGGTCTACGTCCGATTCTTAGAGATGACATTATGGGAACAACTTTTGAGCGTCGGGTAATTACTCGTACCTCTCCTTCTTCTTCGTAAACACCTGTAACCCCCTCTCTGTTTCTTGGCTTCGGCCTCCACGCAATGTGAAAAAAAATTAAATTCTAACCTAAATGCAGCCGGGATGATTACTTCTCCCTCTCGGCCATTCTTCATGCATATACATATATATATATATATATATATAATCTAAACCTAAGGACAAAAAACGAGGAACGAGAATCCTAAACTATTAAACACCGAAGCAGCAGCGCCTCCTTGCCTCCCTCTTCCCCCTTGCGCGATCAACCACCACCGCCACCTTCCAGTCCCCGGCCATCTCCGACCTCCCCTCCCTCCACCAGTAGCAAGCGAGCTCCCAAATGGTACGACAACCGGCAGAGACACAAGCCGGGAGCGGACGAACGCGCACCATTTCTCCGTACGTCGTATCCTCTGTTTGCCGGGAACAATAGCTTTGGATCATCCTCTCTCATCCATAGTTTTGGCGGCGAGATTACGGGAGCTCGAAGGACGATCGACAACGACGAATTGATGTCCGGGAATCCTCAAATCGTGCTCGAAGCTCGTGATTGAGGGGAAAGGTGAAGGAAGAAGGAAAACGGTGGATGGACACGTACAAGGCTTATAAGTACATTTGGGATGATACGGGCAAGACATAAGTTGATAATCGACTTGAAATTAAGGTGCGTGGTGAAAGGGGGCTAGAGTAGTTTGTATTTAAGTTCATGTTATGCATTTAAGTTCTTACTTTATGTTTCCGTTATTGCTTTACACGTTCATGTTACTCCTTGTAGATGAGGAGGTTATGTTCATGATACGTTGGTGCCGGACGGATGTGCTAGTTAAGTAGAGGGCGGGATCCCATTTCAAGTTAAGAAAGTAGAAAATATTATACGCAAGAATATGTTAACAATAATACACTTCTACTAATGTACCCAATAACGTCCATAAGCATTGCATGTGCATGGCTTTCCATTTATGTATAATAACGAAATTAGGATTAGGACTGACCCCATCGCCCGCACTCAGGAGGTACAAGAAAGCAGGAGCATTCAGACCACTAGTCAAGAGAAAGCTGTTGCTCGGGATGTTATCGTCACAAGGGTTAGTGATTGCAAAAGATTCCAAGTGAACTCTTTCACTTTTGTGCTTTCATTAGTAGGCTTGACACTG